TACCTTTGTATCAAAAACCTAGGTTTTCAGGTGACGCAAAAAACTAAAAATTTGTATGTCCCGCTCGATTATCGATATAAATATTATCTAATCGTATTTCTTTTTATCAAAATCGATTAAAACACTGCCTTTTTGATAATTTACCGTCTTCTTTACCCTAGAAAACAATAACGTATGGCTGTGACCAAGGTAACCGCGTCTCCGGTCTTCCGCAAATTTGACTGTCGTTGTTTTCTTTTCGAGGAAGTTGTCAGTTGTATTTCCCTATTTTTTTTTACAATTTTATCGCGTTCATCTTACTAAGTTTATGTCGTCGAACTTTTTTTGTGAGAAAAAAGGATATTTTGTAAAAAAATAATTGTTTACCACTTCTAGTGCTCCAATTTCAATTTTCTTTGCGTAGAATTGTTCAGAATCGCTTAAATTTTAATAAAAAAAATTTTAAAAAGTAATTTTTTCAATTTTTGGTGTTCCAAGCCCCTTAATATCAGTTCAGTTGAAAAAAAGTCGAGTGTATTTAATATAATTTCATTATTTCATAATGTTAACTTTCCGGATGTGTAGTGTACTGTTAACCAGAGATGGGCAAAACCCTAGGCTTTGAATAAATCAGATTTATTCGAAATCTAGGGTTTTGCCCATCACTGCTGTTGACGATTACGGTAACTAGAACACAACTGGTGTCACCGTATGCGCGAAAGTGTCTAGGGTTATTGGAATTGGAAAGCACTAGAAGACTGGCCATTCAGGATTGATCTTTCACGTTTCAAACTATACTACCAACCGGTGAACAGGGTAATGAAGGTGGTTATATCGAAGACCGGAGGAATTCGAAGGCAAATAGACCACAGGACCATGGCGCCCGGGGAAGCCACTCCTCGTTACGTAACATGTGTAAAGAGAAAGCAAGAAGAAAGAACGAGCATCGTTCCGCGATGACTTTCTCGCGCGTTTCGGACGGCGAGTGCGTTACGTTAACGTTACGTCGCAACGCCATTCCTCGCGATACAACAATTAACAACTCGACGGCGGCGGGAGAGGTCGGTGGAAGAGGCTCGCTATCGTAGATTCAACATTCCACGCCCACATTTACTTTTTCGCTTCTTCCTTTCGCGGATATCTGTGCACATTCACCCCGATGCTGAACATTTCAGGAGGACGTTGGCGTAATGTAAAGTAAACAACACTACATTTATGTTTATTTACTCCACCTACTTAATTAATCCCCACTCAGAACAAGAAAATATCGAAATCAATTTAGAATATGTAAAAAAAAAAGATATGATAATTATTAAAAGATAAGATAATAAAAAAAGATATGATGATAATTTGTAGGGAAACAAAAAATTTTTTAATTTTTAAAAATTGAAGAAAAAAAATAATAATTATGGAAGGCCCGCTACCGTTGTGTGTTTTTATTTGAAATTTAATAAAAAATATTTAAATATGGCGAATATATAAATAGTTAAATAAATAAAGAAATAGTTTACAAAAAAAAAAAAGCATTTATTATCCAATTACTGCTTATAAATCTCTACTCAGAACAAAAGAATATCGAAATCAATTTATGAGTAAAAAAAAAGTATACAGTGCAAAGAATCGGTACTGATAATAATCTATAGCGAAACAAAAATTTTTTTAATTTTTAAAAATTGAAAAAAAAGATAATAATTATGGAAGGTTCGCTATCGGACCGTGATTAAAAGTTACAGGGTGGATAGATATTTAAAATAGAAAATCTTCAAGATAATCGAAGGATACACACAGTTTTAAAAACACGATTAAATACTTAAAATTCAAAAATCTCGATTAAAAACACTTTAAATACTTTGTTTGTATTTTTTTCTGTAAAGGCCATCTAAAAACGAAAATTTTGAAAAAAAAATTAAGTTTTGACCATTATTAAGATAATTATGAGCATAAAACCAAAAAAAGAGCGGTTTTATTGAAAATTCGATATTTTTTAAACCAGTGATAAAAAAAAATCTCACAATTTACCAGGAGGTCTCTTTTGAGGGGTACTAAAAAGTACCAAAAAATTAAGAAAATCAAAAACGAACATTTTTAAACTGTCCAATTTGGCTAGGAATGCCCCAAATACATCTAGTAGAATTGCAACGGGTTATTTAAAATATTTAGAAAAGAATGGAATATTAAAAGTTATGGCTATTTGAAGGTCCCGATTTAAATACTATTAAACGTGTGTATGATTATTTGGATAGAGCTCGCAGCAAAAGATAGCCAACAGATACAGCTGAAGTGTTTATTTGCAGATGAAGCAATTAAAAAATTATAAGGTAGTTGTTCAAGAACTCTTTTGAATTTATACTATTTTTATTTAATTCCAACCAGAATAATGTACAATTATATTGAGAAAGTAAAACGTATAAACTAAATTATTACACTCCTTCTCACAATAATGATACACCTTTTTATGATATGAATATGGTCCTTTATTAACACTTCATAATCAAAGTATAAGCGTATACAATTGCGTGTTCTTGCAACGTGTCATTCGATTTATCGAATCCGATAACAATAAAAATAACTCGAGCCGCGTATCGAACTCAGGCTCGCCACCAGTTTCCTGTGACTAGATCTAGGGAATTTCTGTGAGACACCAGAGATGGGCAAAACCCTAGACTTCGAATAAATCTGAAGTTTGCCGATATGTTTGTCTCTTTTTCTTCGTTGGAAAATTTTCAAAAGCAGAGATGGGCAAAACCCTAGACAAACACATCGGCAAACTTCAGATTTATTCGAAGCCTAGGGTTTTGCCCATCACTGTGAGACACCACATAAATCAAAATAAAAGATGTAATGTACCGTAAGTAGCCTAATACACCTACTTCTGCACACTACTCTCTAAGTTAATCATTTCTAAGCGTTTCATAATTTAAAGTAGGTTGGAGAGCGCTAAGATACCATTATTTCAAATAATCAAGTTATTATACTTCGTTTATTTCAAATAACGTCGAGAGAAATGCAAGATTAAAATAATTATTTCGATTAAAATTTCTTCGGGCTACTGAACGACGATGACGAACACCAGTAGCGAGTTTACTCTAGAGCAGTGATTCCCAAAGTGGGCGCCACCGCCTCCCTGGTGAGTGCTGCAGGGATTCAGGAGGTCGCTGATGGCCAATGTGGGCTGTAATTCAAAACTTCTTAATTGCATTTCCTTCGTCATATTTAGTGGAACGTGGGTTCAGTGCGGTAACCAATTTATTAACAAACAAAAAAAGAAACCAAATGCAAATAGTCAATCGTGGTGATTTAAGGGGGCATTTCACTGTGAACGCACAAAAAAAGCATATTTTCAAGAATTTTTTTCTCAGGAACTATTGCATAAAATTGAATGTATGTTTTTTCGCCTTAAAGGTATGATTAAGGAAAGTAAACAAAAATTTTTTATTTTTACATTAATGCTTTTATATATATATGCTTTTTTTGTGCGTTCACAGTGAAATGCTCCCTTAAGATTACTGCTGACGAAAATAGAGCCGAGGATTATTAAATTGTTAGCAACACACTAGGTCCATCCTTCTTATTAAGATGATTTCGAATGTTTTAATTCTTTTTTTTTGTATTACATTCTATTCCGAGTTCAATAAATAGTTTCATAATTTTAAAGTTTAATGTTTCTAATGTACACCTTCCTGTACTATATTTTACGTATTTCCTATTAAGGAGGCTATAGTGCAAGTAGAAATAACGCCATGAAAATTATAAAAATTTGTATACGAGTTAGATTTTATCCCAAAAACACCCACACAAATTTTGGGAAGGCTAGGATACTTAAAAACTACGAAATGAATGTTTCAATTTTTCACTTTCTAAGGGGTAAAACCACTCTAGGATTTTCAAAAAATCGTTTCCTTTTTTTGTTGCTTAAACGATACTTTAGGGTTCTAAAAATAATACGTCATTTGATTCATAGTGAAAAACAAATGTTAAAAGGTTCAATTATCGATTTTGCCGCAGCGCCTCAGAGCGCGATTAAAGTGTTTATAAAACTTTAAACGCGGTTTTCTCGAAACCACTTTTTTCAAACTGGGAGGACGGATTTCTCAGTGACTATTGCATGGATCGATTTGAAATGTTTACAGTAGCTTCACAACAATATTCTCTTTGGAAGTACGTAGCTGTTTTTTGATTGAATGTAAACTCTTTTCTTTTATAAACAATTTAATGCTCATTTTTAGGGCAAAAAGTCGATTCATTGCTTAAAAAGTACGTCACTTCCACAAAAATTGATTAAGAAGAAAAACCCTACGTACTTCCAAACCCAATTGTATATAGATTATAAATTTTCTTTAGTTTTTATTCCATGACTCATAGATGCCGAGAAATCCGTCCTCCCGTGGCGATGTTTTCAAAAAAGCTATTTTCGATGACGGGCTCTGTCTCCGCCATATTTTATGAAAATGACAATAAAAAAATTGTTTTTCGTTCTTCAATATGTGTTAAATAAACCGTCTGAAAAGAAATTCTATTCCATTTGTCACACTCCCAAAATAAATTGTCAAATTTAGGTCTTTTCTTCTGCCTCTAGAGTGGTTTTACCCCTTAACGTGGACTCTTATGGGAAAATGCGTTTTCAACACACTCAATTACGTGCTACAAAGTATTTGACGCCGAGATTGGATCGAAAATTTTATGCATAATAGAAAAATATCTAAAGAACATATATTGATTTACAAATTACTCCGAGAGTACTTGTAGTATTAATAATAAATCAAAGAATACTAAGATAATGCGTTTTGTTTTCTGCTATTGACATAGTATGAGATATCTGGCACGCTGTGCGAGATGTTAGAAAACGCGCGTTCAAATATAAACAGTACTGTAGTTTGTCTGAAAATAATTGATTTGTATTACTTTATGATACAATATAAATATAATAGATATAATAACGACTAAAAATCAATGTTTAAAATATTTTTTTTTTATTTTGATATAAAATTGCGAACCATTGTAATATTCTACTAGACAAATCATCTGGCAGCTCATTTCGATTTCACATCTTTTTCTACTTTCTTGTAGTTTTTTTATGGGGATCTTCTATTTTTCAATGATAACTCCTTGAGTCCTCGGCTTTTTCATGTACTTGACGTAATTTTTTGACTTTTTTGAAGTTTTTTATGGGATATATTATATAGAATCTATTTTAAATTTATAAAAATAAAATTGATATTTCTGTAAACTCTACATAAGAAGTCTAAATTATTATTTATTTTTTTAATTGGATAGAGTAAAATAAAGAGAGAGGGGATAACAAAAGCTAATATATATATATTATATTTCATATAATTTATTAATTATAAACACTTATTCGTTCAATTTATAAATAATTATATATACCTGCAATTTTTTTTTGCTGCAAGAAATTAATTGTTAATTGTTAATGATGAAATGAGAAAATGACTCCATTTCTATAAGCTTTACATAAAAAGTCTAAATTAAAAACACTTTAGTGGTATGGATCTATTCTGTATGAATGAAGGTACCTGACAATTCAGATTTTGACAACTTACCTTGCAATCAAGATCGATCAACACTTTACAACATTGGCTGCAATTTGTTATTAAATCCTACATAAAAGTCTAAATTGAAAACATTTTGCTGATATAAATATAATTAATAATGCAATAGTGTAAAAACTTTTGACACTTGGCAGAATATGAATGATGACATCTGTTTCGACTCTCGACGCTCGATGGCCGAATGATTCCGAGAGTCTACGAACGACACTCGGCTTTTGCTTAGCTCCTATTGGCTAAGAGTTGACGACGGGAACATCATACGAAAAATACCGTTTCAGACAGATTCATGACATGATATTACGATATCTCAGTTGTACGTGAATCGATCTTATTGATTTTAGTTTTATTCGAAAGCTTACGTGCGATTTAGATTACAAGAATGCCTTTAAATTTAGAAAATATTGCAGGCGTATTGAGGTATTCATGAAAGAAGTTTCAGGTTAGGTTAGAATGGACCATCTCTCCTGTAGAAGATACGTGGTAGCTTCAACGCCAGATACGCGGTGACGGATAATTTTTCATATACTTGGCGCCGAGACGCTACCGCGTCTCTAGATCTCTAGAAATACTATGCCAGATCTACTACTACGTGAATCAATCGACAATAGGTACTCTATATTGACTTACAGCGTAACTGTAGAGCCTTCTTAATTGCTATTAAAATTTAAAAAAATTTAATTTACACAGGGCGCTAAGTAACATTTTTTCTGGAAAGAAAGCGGTAGGACAAAAAAGTTTGGGAACCGCTGCTGTAAACCGACGAGGTTCCGCGACGCGTTCCACGATCATGATACGCCGAAAGCGTCGGCTAGACACTTTCCAGTTCCGGTTATGAAACTGTCCGAATGGAACTAGCCAGACGAACAGGTGGTTTTCGCGCATTACGTCTACGAGCGGCAACGATTTCCCGTTACCGAAGCGTGCCTCTGCGAACCTCCCGGCTACGTAGAAAGTTATTTGACATTTAGAAGGGTCTGCGGGGAATTTTTCGACCCACCCGCGTATACGCTCGACGCGCGATTCAACCCGCTAGAATCTCGATCTTCGGGCGCTTTCACGGCACACAGAAACTTCAACGTGGTCTACATTAAAGCTAGAAGTCCAAGTAATAATTATACAAAGTTTGTTTGGTTTGGTTATTTTATGCATTGCATAAAATAAATCTTAAATTAAACGTTATCTAATTTTAACATTACTTTAATATTTAAATAGTTTCAGAACCTCTAATTATTTTTTTTATATATATACAAAAAAACTTCTGTAGACGCTAGAAACCCACTGTACAAACAAGAACAACCACTTTGTATTAATCTTTAGATATAAGATGTAAGATATAAGTGTCTCTTGTATAAATCCATGTAACGCTGTATAATTCTCATCATTAGAGAGTTTTATGAAGGCTTAATAAAAAAAAAAAAAAAAAAAAAAAAAAACCACTAATTAATATACTAGTTTTTGCTGATAAACAGTATTTTAATATTTTGTTGGGTATCCTTTTTGACGAAGAACTTCATTCAGACGTTGCGAAATATTGCAAATAATTTCTTTTAAATATACTGTAGCAATGTCAATCGATTCCATTTTTAATCGTTTTTTCGTTATCTCTTAAACTATGCGACCAAATAACGCATTAATATCATTAAATTTTCCAGGTGATAAAATGATTCCTTTTTATAAAGATTAACATATTATAGCTAATATGTACCTTTAAAGATCACCTTATAATTTTTGTTGAAGATGCAGTCCATATATTCGCGCCACTTGCGTTGGGGCGCATACTGCGCGAACTGGTTATTTTTTTTATGCGAGATGTTACTAGGCGACTCTAATCCAGAGACAGTGATGAGTAAAACCCTAGACTTCGAATAAATCTGAAGTTTACCAATATGTTTGTCTCGTTTTCTCTTTTGAACATTTTCCAAAGAAAGAAACGAGACAAACACATCGGCAAACTTCAGATTTATTCGAAACCTAGGGTTTTGCTCAGGACTGCCTTAAGAGGTTTGGAACATCAAAAAATGAAAAAAAAATCACTTACAAAAATTTTTTTTCATTAAAATTTAAGCAATTGTGAACAATTTTACGAAAAGAATATTGAATTTGGAGCACCAGAAGTGATAAAAAAATGTTTTTGAAAAAAAAATTTCGACGACACGAACTTAGTAATAAGAACGCGATAAAACTGTAAAAATAAATAAGGAAATGCAACTGACAAACTTCTTGAAGAAAAAACAACGACAGTCAAATTTGCGGAAGACCGGAGACGCGGTTACCTTGGTCACAGCCATAGGTTATTGTTTTTTAGGGTAAAGAAGACGGTAAATTATCAAAAAGGCAGTGTTCGATTTCGATAAAAAGAAATACGATTAGATAATATTTATATCGATAATCGAGCGGGACATACAAATTTTTAGTTTTATGCGTCTCCTGAAAACCTAGGTTTTTGATACAAAGGTACACTTTTCTCAGAAAC